GAACAAGAGTTTTATTGTCCTGACGTTTCGGATTCCATCGGGAATCCTTAATTATAGGTAATCTCGGACTTTTCTACGATTACCTATGATTGAGGATTCGTGACGGAATGCGAAAAGTCAGCACAATAAAACTCTTGTTTCAGTCATCGCTCCTTATTCTTCCTCTTCTTCTTCTTCTTCTTCTTCTATACATTTCTTGTCGGTTTGTTCCATAGAGGCCGCAGTTCTCGCAATCGTTTCTCCGGAGCATTGCGATGCACACTATTTTCTCAAGACCAAGAGGCGTGGCCTGGTCCCCAGCGAAAAACGCACGCCATCACGACACCATGAGACAAGGTGGAGTCAGCCTCATCACTTACACCATCCCCTCCCTGATGTATTAGTGAATGGTTGAGTACAATGTTACCTGGATAGATTTTATGATTTTAAAACTATTCGTCACTGAACTCTTGTTTGACAGAAAGGAATCTGATTCGTTGGGTAAAAATGAAAAAAAGCCATTAAGTTCCACAAAATGAATACAAGGAAGTTTATTTTGATGCGAATTTTCTGTGAAATGTTGTTGGATTTATCAGTAGCAGGAAAAAAATAATAGAACTACTTATGCAGTCAGGAAGCTCCAGCGTGATTTTCCTGGGCAACAAGTAAGAAGTGCATTCAAATTTGGACGGCCTGGGTTGACTGAGCTACCTTGAAACTATGCCATACCTACTATATAGCACTGGTTGTCGCACTGAGAAAAAAGTCTAAGCAAAGAGGCGCACGTGCCGTTCGTCGAAGATAGTAGCTTCGTTTGAAACTGGCAATGTAGCTGCAAAATATGACCATCCAGAAGGCAAGGCACATATTTGCAGCAGCCGTGGATGCTGTATTCGTCGAAGTTCCATTCACGAAAGCCTCTTCAGTGTAAGGTATGACCTGAAAACGATGTTCAACAGAAACAATTTAATTTTCGGCCAATGTGATTAGTTACAGGTTATATGTAGTACATTAAGTGTCTGCCAATTTCTGCAAAGTTTGAATCCAAAGATATAGTGTAGAAAAATATCATTATAATCTTCTACTTACGAACCCACCAGGGTAAACAGAAACACGTCCAATAAATGGCTGAATAAGGATGGCTCAATATCACCACTGTGCCCTTGTTTACTTTGCAAAACTGCCTACTTATTTCGTACCAGAAAGCACGTTTTGTTTTGTTGCATTGGCGTCGGCTGTTTTACTCACGGCAAACGTTGGACATAATCCATCCACATATCACATTGCATCGCTGACGGTGATCTTTCGTGACAGAAAGACAGAAGTGTACACAAGAAACAAAGATTTTTCTATCAGTGTACGGTGAAGTTTTTATCGCTTTTATAGTCATAGTATTTTATAAACAAGAGTAACGGTCTTCTAAACTTTCCTGCAATACAATGGTTTGAAACGAGGTCTTTCTTAAGGGCATACGGTAAAAATGGAATTCACATTTTCGGATCCGATCAGAGTTCGATAAAGCTAAAAAAAGTCCTATTTAATTCGCATTCGATTTGTTGAACGATTGGATTTTATTTGGATTCAATTCCAATCCGAATAGTCCCAAATTGCTTTTTTTGTTTATTTTTCAATTACCGCGCGCTTGTTCGGATCATATCATAACAATGATTTCATCTACAATTTCCTACTTCTATCTGCAATATTATTCAATAGCCCGTACTGCGCGCTGATATGCTCCATCCGTAAAAGCCCTACTTCCATGCGTCCCGTATTACAGGATGGGGAGGGGGAGGTGGTTGCTGGGGTGATGGCCTTAAATTATCCTCACCAAATCTTGTTTTTCAAACAAGCTCACATATTTCATAGCATCACGAAAACCCATTCAGTTTACCATTTCTCTTGAAAAAGACGTTGGGGCAAAACATACTCTAAACCTTAATTTACCAGGCCATCGCGCACACCTTCTTCAGGGCTTGCTTAAAAGCATAACAAAACAGTATGTGAAAGAAAATTACGAAGAAGGTTTAATGCAAAATGGCATACTAGAATTTTTCAGATTAGCAATGCAAATTATTGGTTTACTGTACTTCAGCGGCCCATGTTGCGATAAAATTAAATGGGAGGTTAAAGACTGATTTGCTTGCTTAAATATGCTCATCCGTGTCAAGCCAAAAAATATTTGAAGTTCTATGAAAATTAGCAGAACAATTTTTAATTACTCAGAGACTGAGTGAGCTTTACTGCGCTGTTATTTTCAATTCGAATAATCCAAACACCTCTGCCACTGTTAGGTAAGGCAATCATTTTCGTTGGCTGGCATCCGCTAAGGAATTTTAAAGCCCAGTGTGAATATTTACAGGTTTTGGACGATGACACTTAAACCACAATTCTGCTTTATCAGGTGACGCTGGGTCCGTTCGAGGTAGTACACTGTGGCTGCGTATATAGAGGGCTGCCATGAGACAAATTCTGACCTCATAAAGTGTAAAAAACGATTCATTCACTAAATAAATACATATA